ATAACTAAGATCTGATAGAGTTTTTTATGTTGATTGTCGTTCTACCACAATCCTTCTCCTTGAACTAAATTTTGACATGTGTCCATCGCTCTTTCTTACCCTGTCGAACACGGAGTATGAATCGTCTTTACAGAAATGCAAATCAATTGATCCAGAAAAGATTAATGCCAATTGAACCAACAATTCAAGTAATGGCCTTGGATGTATATCATGTGCTCAAACTTGGAAAAGCAGATTTCATGGTCCATGCATCACGCAGGCATCAAGTATAGAAATAGTCAACTTTGGAACAATCAAAATGATCCCTTGATGACATCCATTTGCATTTAACAATATTTTGTTCTCTTCAAGTTTAGACAGAGGGACAACTAAACTAATTATTTGAAATTATTATAGCATGTTTGGCCTAAGCTTAAAAGCAGCTTATTTGCTGCTGCTTTTAGCAGCATAACATTAATGTGTACCAAACATCATGTCTGTAGAGCTAAACATACCAATTTTGACTAGATTTTGATCATTTTGACCGGATCAGTAAAAATCTTGACTATTTCGAAGAAGACTTTTAACAATAAGGCCATATTTGATTGTCACATTATCTATGGAAAATGTCACATCCGAGAAAAACGAATTCAACTTTGGCCGTTTGATTGCATCGTGAAAATGTAAATCAAATTCCAAGGTACAATTACTTTAAACTGCATTTTCTTTGTTATTATGGAAAACGAATTCCTATGGATTTGGTGAGTTTTTATTTTCCAACTAACATGAAATTATAATTCATTTCCACATTTGTCTATCAAACGAACCCTGACAGTATTCAGATGCTTCGAAGCCATTTAACAAAACAGAAATAGAAAGTAATGCCATTTTCACAAAGCGCCTCTCCTAATCTAATGGTTATCACCACATAGACTAAAGTTTAAGTGATTAAACTTAATTTAATTAATACAAAATTATGAGTACTACAATATAAAAAAAATAACTCTATACTTAAAACGAGACTACATGAAGTTAAATTGTAATTAATCTATCATTAATGCCACTTTTAATATATTATAATATTATTTCATATGTGTACGTGTATATATATTATATTATTTATTATTTATATACTTGAACTTCACTTAAAATCAACATTCATCTACATATATAATTATATTATAATTAAAAATATATAAAAATAAAATGTAGAAATAAATGAGAAACGTTCAATTTACCATTTTGTCCTTATATAACATTGTCAACATTTTCATTCAAAGATTATAAATTGCACGTTTAATTAATATAATATATAATATAACTATTTAAATACAAATGACAATAAATTGAAAATAAAAATTAACATTTTCCGTTCTAAAGTATAATTAATGTAGTATTTGATATTTTATTATTATTGTATGTGCATTTTTGTATAAGCATAAAAATTGATGGTAATCCAGTTACTTAATAAATATATATATATATAAAGAAAAAGATTTTTATCTCGAGAATTTTTATTCCTCCATTTGTATAATCCCATTCAAAAGAAAAAGAAAACTTTTGTCTTAAAAGTTTTCACTTCTATATTTGTTTTGAACGTAACTTTGATTTTTAATTTAAAATATATACTATGGATTAATATGTCTGGCATTATTAGTATGTAATTTTTGTTTCTAAATGTGTTTTGATAAGATATTTTTTTGTTTTTACTTTTTAAGGTAAAAAAGTTTATGTTACGAACAAAATGAATAATTTCTTATTTTGAAAATCATTTATGTATATTTAATTTACTTATAAGTAAACATTTTAAACCTATTCAAATATACATCTCTTAATTCAATTCTTCTTCGTATCCGTCTATACAACAAAGCTGGTCGATGTCGCTGTAATGGTTGAAAATAGTGGTCCAACCAATGTCAATTCATTCAATATTTTGACATTATGTACGTAATTTCATAAGACTTTTATATATATTCTTTAACCATTTTATTTTTTCTTTAACATTATCAATTACCTTACTTTAAAAATATTACGCATATCATTCATTTAGTACATAAAACATGCAATGCACGAGTTTCTAACAAGTGAATTTATAACATACAAGAATTTATATGAATGAATTACTATCCAAGAAATTGACACTTGATCGCTGGCAAGGAAAGGAAAGAAATCGTATGAACCGATACATAGGTTTTGACAGGCTAGAAAATCCACAGCTAAGAAAATAACAGATCAACAAAAGTCTAGCTTCAAAAATTTACACAAATATTGAGGAGATCAGAAAGAAGCATATTCCATATCAAACAAACGAGTACGCAACAACAAATAATAAACTACTACTAGCGTAGAACAATACATTTAGACAAGGCATCAAATTGTCATAAAACCACACACATGCGTACACGTTTGACGAATTTCCATCTCAGAGAAAGCAAGTCATTCTGCCATCTTCATGCCCGTAAGGTAGACTTGGGACTGGATCACACTACCGCCAATCCAGAAACCCGGCATAACCATTAGACCCACTTTAGGTTTCTGATCGCTATCTTCAATGGCACAGTTTTTCTCAACACTTTCCATATAAACTTCTGAGAACTCAGTGTCTCGCTTGACCTGGAAAATCTTAACCGGGGGATCAAAAGAATGTGCCAACCTGTGCAGAAGCCAAACTGACTTGGCCAGTTTTAGAAAAGCCTGGTAAAAAGCTGTCCTTGGATGACCACCTCCCATCACATAGTTCCGCTGATCTAGGTTTCCAAAAAACGAAGCCTCCATCTTTGGGTGAACGACAACTAGGTATTTGTTCCGGCAAAATTTCCCAAAAATGGAATCTGGACTCTGCCCCACGGCATCTAGTGGATCCATTTCTCTTAAGGCGAGATATTGGTGGAATACACTTTCTTTGGTGCCTGATGGATTTTCCGATTTCACAGAGAAGCTTTCGTCCTGAAACCCCAAGAACATTCTGTGGCAAATATGGGATTCAAAAGCATATTTCTTGTGAGCTCTCTTTGCATAAACAATGTCCGGCTCTATGGAGTTTGCCGCCGCATCAAGATCCCACCCAGCTGCTTTCATCATGTTGATCAATGGCTTGGAAAAATCATGAATGGATTTATAAGCAGCTTCCACTGCTGACTTGAAAAGATCAGGGGATAAGTCCAAAGAGAATATCCCATCTTCATCAACGCCGTCTTTAAATTCTTTGGTTGACATGCCCCTAAGCTTGAGGTTCTTCTCCAGTTTTACCCGCTTCTGACTTGCCTCTTGGATTTTCTGGTGCAATTGAAGAACCTCAGAATCTTTATTCTGAATTTCAGACTGGAATTTTTTCACCATGACCTCATAAGTCTTCAACAAGCTCTGCTGTTCTTGAATCTCAGCAGCTAAGCGAGAGTCCTGTGGAGAAACGCACACAGGTTTGGGGTTGTGCTCTCGGTAGAAATGCTTGAGTTCTGAGAGATTCTTCAGCTCAGAAATCACAAGTTTATCGGCAGCTTGAATCTTATCTGGGTCATAAGGAGTATGAGCAGATTGAAGTTGAATGTAGGCAGACTTCAGGGATGAAATGTTGGTGAAAATCTTAGATACTAGGGCTTCCATAGCTTCTGGATTCTGATTTGCGGCTTCTTCCATGGGTTGGGGGTGGACCTTTTGGCTATTGCTGTCTCGGAGCGGGGTATCCTTCACGCCAGTGTGTTGCATATCTACTCGCAATAAGAAGGAAATTCACCAAGATATTTTTTGCCCCAAAGGAATTACTGCAGCAAATCCTGCAAAATCTGACAAGGTTATAAGAGCATTAGTTAGAAAATAAAGAAGCAGGCATTTCATTTGAAGTCTCGGGAATACTTAGTCTGGATAAAAACATAATAATATAAGAAAAAGAACTAGTGACAATTACTGAAAACACACGAGAAGTACAGATTATTAGCTCATGACTCAACTTCACATGTTTCCAACCGAAGCTTGCTCAGGCCAGTGACATTTGGATATTGAATTAATACGGACTTACCAAATCAACATGCTTTGTGGAATCCACCGAGGAAATCTCCTCCAGACCCACTCTTTACCAGCAGTCGTAATCCAATCAAACCAAAGCTAATAGATTTTCATGTCCTAAGAAAATTCTCGAGAAACATAGCAGTCCAACTACATCATGACTCAGAAAGGATGGCTAAGAAGAGTAGTCAATACAAGCAAGCAAAAGGGCAATCATAAATTACAATGCTGAAGTTTTAAGTCATCAAATATAGCTGGTCAGAATCACAGGACCCATACATGCTGGGAGTTAGCCCTTTGAAGGCTAGATATGTTAAATCAAATACTTCTAAGCAAGCAGTAGTAGTTGCAGCAAGTGGGTGGTACAGGACCAGATTCCAGAAGGTTGGTGGACATAGAATATAGTTGGAATATCGTACCCATGAGTCCATCACAATAACTTAAAGTATCTACCGAGAGGGTAATTCTTTAATTTTCAAAAGCAAAATAAGAAGAGAAGAATTCTCAAATAGGGATACTGCAAATCATGAGGAAAGTAAATCCTCATGAACAGCAAAAGATTATTCTCAAACATGATCCAAATATCTGAGACACAGAAGATTTCCAATTTTTATCTTTTTATTTTCTTCAAGGGGTTAGAAATATTACTAAAGGAAGAGAGTAATTGCGTGTGTGTGGGTGTGGGGTGTGGGGGGTACTATACGCCCATGCTACACACGGTAGGACACAGCTTTTGACACTGATGTATTCAAAATTTCTAATTGAGAAAAAGAGGAACGTGGAACAAAAGAGAATAAGCTTGTTAATAAATTCTCCGTAAAGAACATTTTAATACAATTCTTCAGCCAATTAATCTTGCGAAGAACACATCGAGAGAGAAGGTTTAGAAACAATCTCCTACTCTTTCAATTGTTAATCAAGATAGACCAAGCTTTTAGAAAACTAATCTTCCATGGATGTTGTGAATATGGGAGAAAAAGCAAAATTAAACACAGTAATCACTCAAATCATAGAAACTA